AAGACTTGTATCTTTCTATGCTGCGATGTACTTTTAAGTTTATAATATAATGCGTATTACCGGTGAGTTAAGTACATGTAGACTTTTTTTTCTCATTAAGTTGAGTATTTACATTCTAAAAAATTGCATGATGTGTGAGAGAATTTGGAGTTGAGGGGATGTGAGAAAAGAAAGTGAAAGCCGTTGAATAATAATCTTGTTTTGACTAACCGTAACTTTTTCCGAATTCAATTTATCCGAATAAAGTTAGTTCGCTGATACACGTGGTAAATGTAATGAAAAAATACGCGTAGAAAGCATAATTTAGGTTACCGATCTTTTTTTCTTATTTAAAAATATCATTGCCATTTTTTTGATACTGGTTTGCATGCATCTTATATACTTAATCCATGTGAATACAAATATATATATTATTATAATATTATTATACGAGACTATTGTCTCGGCGAATCATAAAGTATTTACTGTACATGTACATATTCTACTGTTAGTATTAAGATCTGCGGAATTCGTTCCTATATTAAAATTTTCGAGTTTTTTTCATTTACTAACGTTATTCCGTGACCTTTATGAATGTACTATTTATTGGTGAGTTGGTCTACTACAAATTTGCTAACTACCTAGTTTTCTAATATATGAGATGAGTTTCTACCATTGATTGTCAATAAACATTTTGTAAAGTTTATCGCGGTCACCGTGTACCATCAAATATCCAAATTCAATCAATCATAACATTAATACGATTCGCGATTTGCGAGGCTCGTAAATTCTTCTGTTTCAACAAAGAACTCTTCTATCTCCAAATTAGTAGCAAGAGGAGGATTCGCTGCATCATCGAAACTTAAGTTTTGCTGAGTCAACTGGTGTGTATATATATTTGTAGCTACATGTGCCGGTGAAGCTTGTCCCTGTTTGACGAGAAAACAGTTAAAGAATTAAATTTGAAGACGAAATGTTTCCTGAGTAAGTCAACATACATCCTCCTTATCATCCATATCAAAGTTTCCCA